AATTACTGTGCATACCTCGCAGGGCAAGAGTCTTCAAAATAGCCTGTTTTTAGGAAGCACATGTCACTTAGAAGCCTTTGCTATGCAAACACACTATGCTGTCACTTGAGGTCTTATTAAGAAGACAGGGAAGGTGTGTCAGGCAGTCAGTATACAGGTGGAGAGGATCTTGCTTCTCCTGCCTACAGAGGCAGGAGATCTTGCCTTGGAAGAGAACACATATTGACAGAAGCTCATGAGCAGTAACTTAAGGCTGCTTATCCTCCACAGAAGCTCCCAAGCCACTCTGTGTGATGTCCAGTGACTCCAGGGAAGGCCACATACACAGTTACAGAGAAGTGGCCCATGTACAGGAGCTGTTTTGCCCTCAGTTCACCTGTTCATGCCCTAATGCTGCAAGACTGACTTCACTTGTGCATTTTTCCACAACTGCAGCAGAAGTGCTGCTTGACAGACAGCCCAAGGAGCTATGATGGTCTTTCTGAGGCTACACTGATGTTCCACCAAGACAGGTCTGACTAAACAGTTTTTTACTTACAGTCACATTTAAGATTGCTCTGGGTAACATCACTTGCAGAACTAAAAAGGAGTGATCTTGAGCCTGCTATTGGCAACTTCCCTCCTGACTGCATCTCAAAAGCATGGTGCATATGCACAGGTGGTAGTTACCTGTCTATACCTTTTAAACACAAGGCATCAAAGGCAAATCACACCAAACTTATCCAAAGACACATTTGTGAAAGGGATACTCACCACAAGAGCATATTTTTAAGAGACCTGAGCTCTCCACCTTCTATTACGAACAGATTTCCTGTTACATAGTATCACACATATATTGATGGCATAAATCTACTTTTTTACCTTTTCATATAGCTGGAGAAGAAAAATGTATTAGCAGTTCCATTACTGTTTAGAGCTTGTAAGTTTGTAAGAGAAAAAAAATCCAAATCAAACTATTACTGATTTTAGAAAACTGCCAAATTGAAACGCTGCTGTGAACAATTTATTTAATTTAGAAAAATATGTATAAACAGCAATTTGGGGATAAAAGAAGCTGGAAGCGTCCTTCAGCAGGGACTATTAAATTATAGTGCCACCCCAGCTTCACACACAATTGCTGCTTAGATATTTCTTACAAAGATCCCCATTGTTTAAGCAAGAACATGGGTCCCTTACTAATCTCTCACTGAATTCAATCTCTAACAGAATAATTGTCTGAGACCTGTCAGCCTGCTAATAGACAATCAGCAATGTTAAAATAATTTTAAATAAGGTTATTGGACACTAAATTGATAATTAAATAACCTCAGAATAAATGCTCCATTGATATTTCTAAGTTGAAGGAAAAAAAAATTCATTCTGCACTGCAAAATAGAGATTGAATATGCAGGGCTGAGTAAACAGACAAACAGAATTAAAAGTGTCATTAAACACATTATCGACATTAATTTATCTATATCAATATTAGGTACAGTAGCTGGTATCAAAATACCTACGTTTGCCCTGTTCCCCATGTAGGTGGCTTGTGCAGGTTGTTTTCCCTTATTGCTTGCATCATTGTGCAAATATCAAAGAGAAAGTGAAGCTGGCAAGAACACAGAGGTCTTGGAAAGGCAGCCTTTCCCAGGCAGCTTCTACAGGTGAGCAAAAGAGTTAGAGTGGGGAACAATGAAAGGACTGAAAGGAATAATGACAACTGTGAAACAATTTGCTCCCAGTCAGCTGAAGCAAGGAATTTTTCTCTTGTTCACTTTTTGTGACCCAGGAACAGAGGAGAGGGGAGGGAGAGGGGAACTTCACCTGCAAGTCATCTAATTGCATAAAATTCATTGCATTCATTGCATAAATTTCCAAATGAATCAATATAAAATCCCAGAAATTAACTGAAAGGACTTCAGTTTGCACAGCATCTACTGGGGAAAGGGAGGAGCAGATTAACACCTAAGCACGTGCCTATCATGATGGCCACTCCTGAGTGTATTTCCTTTGTAGTTGAGTGCACTGCAGGATGTTAAATAAGTAAAATAATATTCCTGTATCCCAGATGCCAACAAGTGACAGCATGAGATTCATCCTTCAGCTTTCTGGATGCTGTGCATGCATTACACAACATACAGTTTTCAAACTGATTAAACAAACCACAAATGAGACCGTGTCACTAGGCACACCAAACAGAAGGACCGCACACGTCAGGAACAGCAGCTACTTACCCAACCTGGGCATAACTGCCCCCAAGAACTGTTCATCTTCCTGAAAATGGTTTTCTTGTAGAGATTCGAGCAGTTTCTGTAAGACATCCTGCGGCACTTTGCAGCCTGTGCCTTTCAGTTCAGTGAATCGGGTCAGGCGGAAGCTCTTGTCCAGTTCGTAACTTTCTGGGTTAAACGACTCCCGGACAGACATGGTTCTCTCCCACAGACTGCCGGCCTTTCCCACCCCACAGCAACGGGATCAGTTTCTCTGCTGATCAGTCTTATTAAAAAATAAAATAAAAAAAAAAATTGGAACCATTAGAAATTCCTAGGACCTGCGAGACAACAAGTTTTCCATGTGGAGTAAAAAAGCAAGAGAAAGCACTCGATGCCGTTGTTCACCTGTTAAGACAGGTGTGCACATCTCACACAACTCATTTCCCTAAGACTACAAAGGAATGACTCCTCATCCTACCTTCTGACATTTAGAACTATAACTACTATAACTATGCCAGAATCAGAGAATTAAATTTTTTCCAGATATGCTGCATAAGGTTTTCATTAAAAAAAGAATCTAACACACTTACCAACCTCATCTAACACAGAGGTAACAAAAGAAAGAATAGTTCCCAGAGCACAGAGGCCAGCTTCCAAAAGGCAACCTGGGCCTTGATCCTGCAACACGCTCAGCAGACACATCTACTTGTACTCAGCTCAGTGAGGGGTCACAATTTTAGCCATTGAGATATTATTCTCAAAAATAAGATGCTTTTCAAATATTGGCTCTGCTTCAGTCCTGATGTAAGAAGCTGAAAGTTCATAATACACCTGTTCTCCTTGGGGGAAAACACAGTCCTGGTGTTCTCTTAGTACAGGTAACAGAAGAACAAAGAGGCTGTATTTAAGCAGACTGGTCCACCTACAAACACGCCAGTTTACTTTTTGGCATGTCCGCAGACATAAAAATGTTGAAAAGTTTCTTGCCTCTCCAGCTCTTTTTTAGTCAACTAATGATACTGAGAATACAGAGAATTGCCCATTAAAATGGTAATGTAAAAAGACACTGATGCAACTCATTTAATAAAATTCTTAACAATGCATGTCTAATTTTAGAACGTTTTTCCACTCTGACTCACATCCCACCACACTCCAAAACTAATAAGAGGCCTAAGCTGAGACACTGACTTCTAAACAGGAACGGCTGTGATAAAATGCAATTCATCTTTCTCAGAGAAGAAGTTTTCAGGAATTACTAAAAACAACCTGAGGTATTTTCTTAGAAAGCAAGGCTCCTGCCTCACAGCAACAAGAACAGAGATCAGCGGCATCGCTGGCAAAATCTGATACCGACAGTCACATCCTAACAAGGTTAAGCTGAAAAGAAAAAAACAAATGCAAGTGACTGGCATTTGCCAAGTTCAAGTTTGCTAAATAAAGAAGTAAATCTACAGACTATGATGTATCTCCCCTATACAGCACTTATTAACAAGTACATCTGTTCCATAAACCTTCAAGTCTACTAATTTATTGATTATAATTTGTAGGAGCTGAAGTTTTAAGCTCCCTGAGAACTTTTGATGTGGAGCCCAACTCCCCCTTACAGTGCTTTCCCTCCTTCCCCGGGAGGTGTGGCATTTATTTAAAACAAATCTTCCAAAGCCCAGGCTCGGGCACTAATCCAAACTCTAGTTACAAGAACGTGTCTTGGATGAGCAATGAATTCAGTCCCTAGCTGTTGTCTTCCAATGCAAGACACTAAGCACTTGCAACCAGAAAAAAAAAAAAAGTGTCTGGAAAACAACCTGTCAACAGAAAAAGGAGACAAAAGCTTTTCGAGGAGGGGGATTTTTTTTTCCTCCATTCTTTTTTAACACTTCGTTCTAATTAATTCCAGCAATTTATAAAAAAGCAGCTTGCCCCACAAGGAAAACATCTTCCCTCATCTAACCAGTAATTGCAAAAAGCTTAGCACCCCCTGCCTACCTACACAGGGATGGATGCGGAGGCCACAGCCTACCAGGAACTTTTCTGCAGCCTTGAGGACTGCAAAGACACAGTTCCCTCATTCGAAAACAAATCTTGAAACAAACAAGACGATTTCATTTAATGGCAAACACCCGCAGTGCAAGAACGCAGTAACTTCTTAATGAAGATCTGATTAAAGCTACATGCAGTTGGGTATTTTGCAGACTGCCAGGGGAGCAACCTCCCCTGCAGGACGAAGTTTGGTGACTTCGGTAGTCACAGCACCGAGCCTGTCAGAGCTCAGGAAGCGTCTGGACAACGCTCTCAGGCACATGGTGTGACTCTCGGGGCTGCCCTGTGCAGGGCCAGAAGCTGGGCTCGATGATCTTTGTGAGTCCCTTCCAACTCGGAATATCCTGCGATTCTGGCAGTCCACGCAAAACGCGATGAGAGCGACAAGCATCCCTCCCCCGCAGGAGGAATTACCCCGTTACCCAGACGTTCCTTACTTTTAAAAGAGCGGCATAATAAATATTAAAAGCTAAAGTTTAACCCTTGCCTCCCTAAAGAGCAATCTGAGGAGAGCACAGGAGCAAAAAAACAGGGACGGGGGGGGGAAGGAAGGAAGAAGTGGATCCAGGTACATACCCAACGTAACCCCCCGAGCACCCGCCGCCAGCCCGACCGCCCGGGACACGCGAGGCGCGGAGCCGCGACACCCATCGACCCGGGGAGCGCGGCTGCGGGCGGGCATGGCTCCGGGACACCTTAAATTTCCAGCCGCTGCCTTTAGAGGCGAACCCGGGGCCTTCGCTGCCGCTCTCTTTGTGCAGACGGAGAGGAGGCGGCGGGGGAAGAGGAGGAGGAGGAAGGAGCTGCGCGGAGCGGAGCGGCGGCGGCGGCCCCTTCCCGCGGGTGCCCGGCCCCGCTGTGTCCCCCGTGTCCCCACGTGCAGGTAACGGTGTCACCGGGGCGGGGTTCGCCCCTCGCTGCCGGGGGCGGCCGGTGGGATGTCGGGCACCCCTACACCGCCACCCCCCCCCCCGCCGCCACTCCGTGATGGGGGGGGGGAAAGCGGGGGGGGGGGTTGGGGGCAGCGCCTCACCGCGATGCGGCCGCTTTAAAAAAATCTGGACGCCGGCAGCGGACGGGTTAAATTTTTCGCCCGCCGACATTTTTTTTTTTTT